AGTCAGTGTAAGTATCATTTACAGTCATTTTTGGAAAAAAAAATTTCAATAGGTTCTTAGGAACAAATGTGATGAACATGGCCCAGGTGCAGTTTGAAACTCAAAGTGCACTGATTCAACTCCAGAAGAAACAGAATCGCAGGTTTTATATTCTGTGCCTCGACTGTTTTGAGAGCCTCTGAAGCAGGGTTTTTCCAACAGTGGTGTTATTGACATTTGTTATAGAGGGCTGTCCTGTTCATTTTAAGAGGTTTAGCAGCGTCTTTGGCCCGCACCTACTAGATACTAGTTGTGAAACCCAGAATTGTCTCCAGATAATGACAGATGTTCCTGGGATGTAGAGAGGTCTCAGTGGAGAATTGCCGATTTGAAGGGTAAGATGTTATGTAAGTATATGTTTTATAATGCAATTTTTAAAAGTACTTTTTGCTAACCAACTGCATCAACTCAGAGAATTTAATGTCCTTACTGAAGATTACAGCCTCTATTTGACTTTCCAGTACTTGGAATTGGAATTTAATACTGATATATGGCACAATTTATTGTGAAATAATCTTTTGCACATCCAAGAGGATACTAAACAAACTTACGTTTTGCCACTTCACTGAATTTTAAGATTTCTATGTGTATTTTAGAAGGATATTTTGACCTTGGATTTAAAAGTGGTAAAAATAAATAAATAAATAACAATAACATGGCGGAAAAAAGTAATTCTCCAGTAGAGAAGTATGAACTAATTATTCTTTCAGTCATTCAATTAGTGTTTCCCTACTGATGTTAGTATTTACAAGTCAAAGGCTGGTTACATTTTAAAACATTAATCCTTTAGACAAACAATGTTGAAGTGTAGTCAGCCCTGTACACAGTCTAGTCCTTAAGGAGCAGGCGAGAGAAAAATGCATTTAAGACCACAGTTCATATTACAAGGAGGATAGCTTGTAACATGCTCTTTGGCTTAAAGGTAAATTGTCATTCCAATGTCTTGGATTAACCATAGAGCTGTATAGACAGCCCAACATTTAAAAAAAAAAAAAACTACTGCTAATTAATCATTACTTTCAAATAGTGGCTTTTTCCACATTTAAATTTATTAAAATTCCTCTGCTTAACATAAGCAATTTAGCATCATTTTCAAGTCATTTAGAAAATAACTGGTGAATAATCACAAAATAACAATAAAATATCCTAATCTCTTAAAAGTAGATCACTACTTTCACTGTAAACCTTTTTCCCAGTTAATTTTACAGTGGTAGGAAATCTACCAACCATTTGTCAAATGGTGCTTGTTCCCAGGAGTACCCAAGAAAGCGGCGTTCTTGCTCTTTGTCAGAGGTGCATTCTGGCAGAAGAGGAATGCATGACATCCAGCAGTATACCTTGGGAAGTTATTAGGATTGCCTTTTAAGTAGGAGATTTAATTCACTAAGTAATCTGAGTATCTGGATCGCCAAACACATAAACTAACACCCCTCTATGGCGTATGATATCGTCTGAAAATCAGATTATTGAGAGTGTGAAATTTAAAATGCTGTCATTTCAAAGACTGTAAAATGCCTTTGTTAACGTTCTCGATTACTTTCCCAGCACTCAGAAATAAATTCAAGTTAAAAATAATAATCAAAGCCAGCGTTCACCAGCGACAGTGGCTTGGGGCACAGAAAGGGGGAAGGAAAATCCCTCCCCCCCATCCAAACGCGCGCACACAAAAGACGCGGCCTCCGTGTCTGCCAGTCTAAGACGCTCAGTAACAGCACATATGTCTGTCTCCGCGAATTCGGGCAGATTCGGTTGCCACGTTCTTGAAACCCTTGACCGTGGGCAGTTGCGTGGGAGAGAAAATAAAAACGCATCACCATTCTTCAGGCATGTGACTTGGGAGAGGTCAAAGACAGGACACTGTGGTAACCAGGGTCCCTCCGCTGTAGGGAGGGAAAAAAAGCAGGGGCAGAACGAGGGGCGAGGTCCCCACGTGCGTGGGACACGCAAGGTTTCTGTCATGAACCTGGGCCCCCAGCGGCTGCCCGCGGGCATTGTCTTCTGCACGCTTTTCCCTGACTTTGGAGAAAGCAGAATCGGACGTGTGGGGGCTCCCTGCTCGAGTCAAGCGTTTGCCCGAGTCCCCAAGTCACCAGCTGCAAACCGCCCTAGAAAGCCGCAGAGCCCCTGCGGCCGCTGCGACCCAGACAGGCCGGAGGCCGCGGGCTGCCGCGGCCCCGTCTTCATCCACGGGTCAAGGGCGCAAGAAAAAGCAAGTGTGGGCTGAGGCGTGGCGCGTTGCCCGCGGTGCTGACACAAAGCCCCCCAGATGACGGGCTTTTAAAAACTCCCTGATTCTGTAACACTGAGAAAGCAAAGCGAACGTGCAGCTTTGGCGTGGCAATCCCGGGAGAAGCGCAAGGAAAGGCGGCGGGGGTGGGGGTCCCTGTCTCCCGCCCAGTCGGGTTATTTCCAAAGGACCCTGCAGGACCCTGCGAAGGGCCTCTGTTCCCCAAATGAGGGCTCGGCTCCCACGTTTCCTCCTGCGTCCTTTTGACTGGTAAACGAATGATTCCAAGGGGCCGGCCGTAAGCTGTTTATTTCCTCTGAGTTAATAAAATCAAGTCAAGTGCCTTTCGATGACGAAGATAGGGTCTCCTGATGGACCCCAACCCCCAAGCCCTTCTCCCGCCCCGCATAGAGGCGACCGGGACCCCAGGACCTTGCGCCCCGCAGCCTGCGAGCCATAGGGGCGGCCCTGCCGGCCGCGGACGCCAGAGCTCCTTCCAGAACTTTTGTCCAAGAAACTGGTCCTAGGAGAAATATTCCCATTTCCTGGATGGGACGCCTAGACTCGGAGGAGGATCACAGGCTGCTCACAGGGGCTAGAGCGTGACGCCGGTTCAGGCCGGGCACAGACGGCCTTCCCCGCCGCCAGTGGTCAAGCATGGAGACCCGGGTCCGCTTTGCTCAGCGGGCGGGAGGGTCCCGGCGGGCCCGCGGCCGCCTCTGGGAGTGCGGGGTGAGCGCAAAGGGACTTGGCGACCTTGGGAGAAGCCGGCGGGCGAGCCACCTCCGGGGACAAAACAGCCAGGCATCCGCGACCTGCAGCAAGGGGCCCGAGTTTGGGGAGCCCAGGTCTGCCTGGGTCCGGCCTTATCCCTGCCGCTCCCCGCGTGCCGAGGCCCACGGGGTTTGGGGTGCGGCGGATTCTCCACGGCCTGTACATCTTGGGCCCCCCACGCGCTGTTGGTCACCGCAAGTCGCTCCTCCGACTCAAGCCCTTTCCCCCAGCTAAGGTTTATGCTTGGTCATTATCCTCACCGCCCTTTTATTTTGCCCCTGCCCTGTCTCATTTCCAGAAAAAAATGAGCTCGTGCAGAAGAAAGCCCCTCCGTGGAGGCGGCTGGCAATCTCGCAGAAACGAGGTAAATGGTTGCAGGGCTTTTTTTTTTTTTTTTTTTCTTCCGCTCTGCTATTTTTTTCGAGTGAACTGTGAAGATCTGTGAAAATAATATCAGGGTTTTCCGTCAGAACGAGCTTGGCCCTGCACTCAGGCGTGGCGTGATCTGACCCGACACCTCCAACCATCTGTGCTATCTATCTGCCTTCTGATTCACCGGATCTGTACGCGCCGCGCACAAACTGTACTTGATACTAAGGAAAAGAGCGCCAGACCCAGTCCAGTTCTGAGGGGAGCACGCCCCTCCGAGCTCCTGCTGAGCGCCGGCCTCCCAAACACGCAATCCCTGGAGCTGTCCTGGCACAGACCCCCTGCCCTCCCCACCCCTCCACCCCCACCCCCAATTGTTTCCTCAGAACGACACAAATCCCTGTCTGAGGCCCGGATGAGCCCATGCTTTCTTGGACAGAGGCCTCCGAAACCTGTATGATGCGGATGTCAATTGATAATCAATAAAAGTTGCCAATTCAATCTACTGAGCCGAGAGTGCTCTTTCTCTCCGCACCGAGGGCCAGGGCCCAGCGGCTCGCGGGGCGCTTTCCAGGCTCGCTGTGGATCGCCCTTCTCCGTTTGCCTTTTGCTGGCTCATTCTTGGGCTAACACGCCAAGGTTAGAGTTTCCATCCTTGGCTCGAGTTTCACGTTCGGACACAGGCCGGGCGCAACATCTCGCCTGCAAGAAGCCCAGCAGATCGATATTTGTAGAACGGTCTTTGAAATAAGCTTTTAAGTTGCTGTCCTGACCTACGCGTGACTTCTCACTCTAGACGCGACTGTGTTGCACGTTTGTTCAAGTCCACTACACCGGGGGCGAGGGACGGACCCCTAACGGCCCCCTTTCCCCCCAAGCATTCGGCTTTACGGTCAGCACACCTGTGTTAGCGGGCGCCAGCCTGTCCTTGCTCCCCAGTAAAATCGCTGCAGAGGAGTGGGGGAGGCGCCCTCGACCAATCCCGGGTCCTGCTCTTTCCGCTCCGGGTTTGCTTTGGCAGCTGGAGAAAGGGAAGGGGCGGCTGGCAGACAGCACCCCCACCCCACCCCGCCCTCTCCCTTTCCTGCGCTCCCCGAAAGGTTTGCTGTTTCCTTACAACTAAACGTGGGAATTCTCGGGGGGTTTCGACTTGGCCCGGTCCTCTTTGTCCTCTGCAGACCTGTCGCCCGAGGCCGCGCATCGCCCCGAAGTGAATTCCCCGCAGCATCACGGGCTCTTGGGTGGGGAGACGAGGAGGGCTGGGGGCGGAGGGAGAGCTGGGGCAGCGAAACGCCCTCGCTCTCGCCTCTGTCTTTCCCGCAGCCACTCGCACGTCTTCTCATCCTCCAGGTTCTCCAGGCCACTGAGAGGAAGTCCACGAGCGAACGGCTGGCGCTGTCGAGCGCGGGGAGGTGCTGAAATAGCCCAGGCGCGCTGGTCGCAGCCTTGATTGGCAGAGCCGGCCGGTGACTGACAGGGGGTCTCCATGGCGCCCGCGCGACCAATCCGCCCACCCCAATAGCTGCGGCGGCTCGCCTGCTTGCGTGCCGGAGCGGAGCCGAGCCGAACCCGAGCCGCGAAACCCGCACCTCCTGCAGCAGGGATCGCTCGCTCCCGCTCGTTTGCGTCGCCGCCGCCGCCCGGGGCCGTGTGTCCCCGCTGCCCCACGCCGTCTCGCCGAAAAGAGCCTGGCGCACCGGGCCCGGCCCGCCGGCATCCGCTGCGCGAGCGTCCGCCTCCAGGCTCGGTGTCTTTGCAGCCGCCGCCGCCGCCGGCACTGCCTCGATGTTCCAGCTGCCCATCTTGAATTTCAGCCCCCAGCAAGTGGCTGGGGTATGCGAGACCCTGGAGGAGAGCGGCGACGTGGAGCGATTGGGTCGCTTCCTCTGGTCGCTGCCCGTGGCCCCTGCGGCCTGCGAGGCCCTCAACAAAAATGAGTCGGTGCTCCGCGCGCGAGCCATCGTGGCCTTTCACGGTGGCAACTACCGCGAGCTCTACCACATCCTGGAAAACCACAAGTTCACCAAGGAGTCGCACGCCAAGCTGCAGGCGCTGTGGCTGGAGGCGCACTACCAGGAGGCTGAGAAGCTGCGCGGCCGGCCCCTAGGGCCGGTGGACAAGTACCGCGTCCGGAAGAAGTTCCCGCTGCCGCGCACCATTTGGGACGGCGAACAGAAGACACACTGCTTCAAGGAGCGCACGCGGCACCTGCTACGGGAGTGGTACCTGCAGGACCCATACCCCAACCCCAGCAAAAAGCGTGAGCTCGCCCAGGCAACAGGACTGACCCCCACGCAGGTGGGCAACTGGTTCAAAAATCGCCGACAAAGGGACCGAGCGGCTGCAGCCAAGAACAGGTAGGTACCTGGAGGCCTCCGCGCCTTGCGCGCACTGGGGAGGGGGCGGGGGGGGGCGGTAGGTACCACGGGCGCCCCTACCTGGTGCCTGGCGATTCCCAGACAGCAAGAGTTGGGGGCGCAGTCCGTTTTCGGTTATAAGCCGCTGCTTCTGGGATCCTGGGTAGGGGGTTCTCTTCCAGGATCCTGGTTTTCCACCTCCTCTCTCTGGTTCTTGGGGCCTCGCGTGGGGTCGCTGGCACTAGCTGCACCCGGACACCAAGCCAAGTCTTCGTTGGGGCACGATGGGGAGAGTTAACGCCTAGAAGTAAAATTTAAAATCCCATAAACAATTAGGGAGCCCAAGGCCTATGTCAGTCTGGGCCCAGGATGCGGAGTAAGTGCAGTCTGGCTTATTAGCAGTGTGTCGGTTTCGTGCTAATTATCTATCGTCTTTAAAGGCCACGTGCATTGCTCCCTACTGCTTTCAAAAAACAGTTTTCGTGGGATTCCTGTTTCTAAGAAGTGGGAAGTCCAATCTTCCCATGTACGGCCAGACTTGCCTCCAAACTGCAAACCGGTCGCCGAAGCTTTCCATTGCCAGAGTGTGAATCTCTGTCAGTCAAACACTTTGGCCCAGAGCCCAGCCTCGGTCCCCAGACCCAAACTCTCCGTGCAACCCGGAGGCAGCCCTTTTTGCCTCTAGCGGACCCAGCCCTGGCAGCGCAAACTCAGGCGTGCGCCCCAGGCAGAGTCCGACCGGGAAGGGAGCCTCAGGTCCCGCAGCCTGACCAGCTCTTGTCATCCACACCTCTGATGTTCCCCGACAGTCCTGGAAGGTGGGCAAGACCCTGAGCGCCCAGAATCTCAAAGACTGGGGAGCTGGGGCCGAGAAAGGGCGAGAGGAGAGCGGCCGTGGGTGCCAGGGTCTGGGGAGAGCCCCCGGCCGCCACGGAGGGAGGGGACGAACGGGCGGCTATGCTAACGCATTGTGACCCCTGTCCCCTTCCTTCCCTGGTAGACTCCAGCAGCAGGTTCTGTCGCAGGGCTCCGGGCGAGCGCTTCGAGCCGAGGGCGAGGGCGTGCCCGAGGTGCTGGGCGTCGCCGCCAGCCCAGCCGCCAGTCTATCCAGCAAGGCAGCCACTTCGGCCATCTCCATCACGTCCAGCGACAGCGAGTGCGACATCTGAGCTGCCCGCCCCGCACGCACAGAAACAGAATCCAGTGTAAAAAAAAAAAATCTAACAGCGAGATAAACACAATGAAGGAAGGAGAGAGGATGAGACCAGCATATCCGGCGCCGGAGGAGCCAGGTGGCCAGGGATCCGCGGGCGCAGGCTGCCGTGTCCGCCCGGCGGCCGGCCTGGCCCCACGGGCGCCCCACATCCGCAACCATCGGGGCCCGCAGTGAGGCCTGACCCAGGGCCACGTTCTCCTCGCCTTGTTTTTTTCCGGAGGGTTTTGCTGCAAAGAGGCCTTCGAAACGCGAACTGCACGCCGAGCGCCTGCCCTGAGTCTCCCGTGGGTATTTCATGCCGAAAGGACGCTGTCATATGTGTATAACTTTTGCTTTAAAGCTTTTTTTTTTTTTAAGAAAACAAAACATATATATGCTGTTTAATTGTTATTTAAGAGACTGCCGTGGTAGGTTTCTCTGTTGCTTGGGGAACTTCCTGTTTCCAAAACTCGCAGGCTGGTGTGTTCTGTGTGGAGAAGCCAAACAATAAAACAACTTGGTGGGCAACCTTTCTTAATCATGGGCGCTGCTCTCAGATTCCTACAAAACAGAGCCCCCCAACATCCCCTGCACTAGGCAGGGACCCCTGTGCAAATGGTCTCACTGAAGGCCTTCTCTACATTTTTTTGCCTTCTCTAAGATCATATAGTGTAATTCTAAAACAGCCTGTGGCAGGCCCATAACCACCTCGCATGCATTATGATATGTTTAGACCTAGCAATTGGCAACATGAACGTTGCCCCAGTAAGGCAGCTCTCCACCTCGCCAGCACAGGGACCTGTGGGCTGTGCACCTGACACTTGTTTTGTGAAATGTTCACAGCTCTCACAGTTGTATATTTAGGAAGCCACACTCTGGGACTCAAGTAGTGAGCCCGGTTAGACAGGCAAAAGATATAGGAGAGCCTGTAAATAACTAGATGAGCTTTTTCTTGCTGCGGAAGCCAGTTTTAATCAAATGTGTGGTTTTCAACAAAAAGGGGAATGGGGGTAATTGTGTCACATACTGAGGATGAAACAGGCTGCAGAGAAATGATTGCTATTTTAAAAGTCTTAATCTCTATAGTAAACTTGAAATAAGCATCAAGAGTCTCACCATTCCGGTAATGGCCTCAAGCATTTAAAATATTCTTAGTATTTAATTCTTTTGTTTTGTTTGCAAGCCACATACATATATTCCACAAAAACCACCTATCATTCTTGTACCAAGAAAAGTAAATGCTATCCAGAGTCTAAGCTTTCTTCCTAGTGGAACGGATTGCATATTATAAAATTTGACACTGATCTTTAAATCCCTGGAGCTGGACCCCCCCCATCCTCCCACCCCGCACCCCATCAGTGTCCTTTCGCTTTGCCTCTGTCATTAGAAGATGCTCTTTGAATCAGAAGCCTACTAACTTCTTCAGACAGAAGTGCTGAAGTGCAAACCAAATAAAAATAAGCGAAATCATGGACGACAAAAAAGCAGTCAAATGACAAGATACATAGTGGAAGCCCAGGGCACGGGTATGGGTTGATTTTAGTTTCTCAGTCACTTAAACAGATATGGTTCATTTGGCTTTTATAAATGACTGTCGTTTTATGCCATGGCTTTTATGCAAAGAATACCTGAAAATCAAAACTCTTTTTTTTGCACAAGATCTGTGGATGGAAGGACAGGAGAAATCTTCGTAACCAATCTGGTGTTCTTCCCGAAAGCAAGCAAATACACTTCTGTGGGTCCTGAAAAGCTAGGACGATTGAGCTATAGAGTTTTCCTAGAGCCCCCGCTAGTTCCTGGAGCGCCGAGCAGCAGGTCAGGGCTCAAGGAAGGGAGAAGATCACATTGAAGGCGACACACATTCTCCAGGCTGCGTCAGTGCAGCACGTACAAGACTGGGGCTGAGTGCCTTCTCACATGCTGCATCTCTGGGGCCTCCCGTGTCACCCCGGCCCAGGCAGTATTGCCCTCCAACAAAAACCCAGGTAGTCCCTGGATTCTTCGCCAGCTAAGCAGCTGTCCAGAACCAGCATTTGGAAAAGTTGGTGGGCAAATTTTATCTCTTACCTCGATAATTCCAGATCCAAGAGGGAAGAGAAAAGACTAGGGAGTGGAATGGCATGAAGGAATTTGATATTCTAAAAATCACACCCCACTCGCAGTGCAAACGATACCTAAAAGCAGTGGGAACTGTCCCTCTGCCATCTCAAGAAAACTGCTAGGAACAAAGCGTTCTCTTTGCAAAATAACTTTGAAATGACACTTAATTGCTTGGGGGGTAGGGGTGGGGGAGGGAGAGCGCCAAACAGGGAAGAATTTTTCTTCCTGCTTTGGTGAAAGTCTTTAAATCTACCCTAAAGTTAACATGCTGCCTCGGGAATATGTTTTAAAGTAGCTATTTTGCTTCATCAATCTAAGGATTGATTTCTCTGGTTTCACTTTACAATCTTAAGGGGGTAATATGTCATTTAAAATATTTTTGTAATGTTTATCTAAAATCTGATTGCCCCTTACTGCCTTGTGAATAATCAGTTCTTTAGCGACAGACCCCATGTGGAAATTAACCTGAATCTCTTCGCACTGAGATTTATTTTATTTTAATTTATCCTAATGTTCCCAGGGACATGTATTGTAGAGTTTTTTTTTTAAATTATCTCAGTTTTATCCTGATCTAGAGAGGGTGTTGTTTTATGATTTTTGTTGGCTTCTTGGTTTGTTTGTTTAATCGAGGTAGTAGAAAGGCTGACTTCTCAATATGATGGGCTTCTTTTTCTGTAATTCTGTCACGATTTCCCAAAAGCAGTTGCAGCAGCAGAGTAGAAAGCAGTATTTTTTTGCAATCCAATGGACTTGGCGGAGGTGAGGATAGTACCTCTCGCCGCAGCACAGGTTCTCTGACAGCCCATGAATAGTTCAATCAGCCTCGGATTCCACCGAAAGAGGGACGGCCCCGGCTTCCCTCCGGCCTCCGCCCGCCGCTCCCCAGCCCCTACTCCAGCCCCTTCCCCAGTTTATTTATAAAAATCTGGGCAGGAGGGGACGAGAGGCCGGGGCTGGAGTGTGGGGGTAGAGACTTGCTCTTTGTTTACGTTAAACAAATGACAGGCAAAGAGCTCCAGCAAAGTCTTCCTTGACCTCGTTCTCTCTCCCTAATTTTAACAAAAAGGGGAAAAAATATTGTGTCCACAGAGGACGCGAACGGGGCGGGAGGCGACGGGCAGCGCTCGGCGCTCCATTCAGCGGGGACGCGGGAGCGCGGACGACTTCCGCTCCCATTGTGAGGCGGGGCCGGGGGCGGCGGCGAGTGGGGGGTCCGCCGGGCGGCCCGCGGCGCTGTCAGGCGGCTCAGCGTAATCAGGGCTAATGACGGCGGCCCGGCGCTCGGCGGGACAATGCGCGGGGCCGCGGGGTTCTGTCGGCCTGAATGGCTAATAGGTCTGCCTGCGGACTGCGAGGGGGCGGCGGCGGCGAGGGGAGAAAGGGTCATTGTCCGCGCGCTGGCCCGGGGCGCCGAGGCGCGTCCTGAGGAAAGCCCGGGCGGGGAGGCCTCCTGGAGGCCTGCGGGGCTGCGGCGCTGGAGCGGCGGGCGCTGGGTGCTGCCCTCGGAGGGGCGGCGCGGCGCGGAGCGGAGCGAGGCGAGGCGGTCGAGCCCGAACTTGGTGCCCCAGGAGAGGCCCGGACCCTGAGGGCAGCCGCCGCGGCGCCCGCACCTCTTCCGCCCCGCGGCCCCGAGAGAGTCGCCGACGCGCAGGCCTCGAGCCACTCCTATTGTTAAACTACCCAGATTCCAGAAGCTCCAGGAGACGCCTGCCGAAACCCTTGGGGCCTGCACCAAACCTAGGCGACAGCGTGCACCTGCGAGTGCGCGCTCGCCCTGGGGCCTCGGACGGCGCGGCGGCGGGAGCGCCTCGGAGCCAGGGCACGCGGGGCGGCCGAGCGTGGGCCTGGGGCCCGCCCGCGGAGCAGCGCCGACCCCCGGCCACGGCCAGCGAGTGGCCGAGCAGGGAGGTTCCAGACCCAGCAGCCCGAGGGGAGGGCGGCGGCAGCCGGGCTCTTCGCGGGCCCAGTGTCCGCGACAGCATCTCCGAGCCCCGGCGGGCCCCCGGGTCCCTTTCTTTGGGGACCTTGTGTCTCCACCCCCACTTCCCACTTAAGCTCTTACAAATCTCCTCAGGTTAGGTCCTGGCTGGCAGCCCTGTTTTGTAGCATTCCTATTCCCAAATTTTAAACGAGACACAGCCTCCCGCGAGGGAAGGAGCCGGCTTTCTTCCCTGGCGCACTTCCTTGTCTGCAGACAAAGGGGCGTGAGGACGGCCGCGAGGCAGAACTGGCAGCGTGGCGCTCCGGGCCCCAGCTCGCGCCGTTTCCACCCGCCCTGGGGTTTTGCTGTGTCCCGAAGACGTCCCCTGCCTGGCTGCCGGCGGGCGACCCACCAGCCTTTCCCACCTGCGCGAGCGCCTCTGGAGCCCGTGGGCTACCCCCCCCCCATCCCCCGAGAATCTTCCATTTCCTTGGGAATGCCCCCACTGCCCATTATTTAGACTAAGCCTGTTTTCGCCCTGTACCACATCTGTGTATTCATTTGCTTCCATGTTTGACTCCCTTCGCTAGAGTGTAAGCTGTTCAGGGGCACAGGTGGAGCCCTGCTCACCGTTGTATTCCCAGTACCTAGCCTAAGCAGTAGTTCTCAATAAATATTTTAAAACCGAATGAATGAATGGCTCTTCCTTGAAGGCTGTCTGCTCCCATCTTAGTCGGGGACTTCTGCTAGTTTTGATTTATTTGAACGGCAAAGATGACTAACGATTGGCTGCACCCAAAGTCCGCTTCAATCCTCTCCTCTGAAATTGACTGGCTCTTGCTTGTCAGGTTCTCCGGGATGAGTCTCCGAAGTTCATCCGGTTTTTCTTTGAACACTATAAAATAGAATTCCTAGGATTACCTGAGTAAGGGAGGTTTCCACTTCCAAGCCGACTGCTAGAGTTTGAATGTGACCCTCCAAACTCATGGTGCAACTTAACCCAGCAATAGCACTGGGACATGGGGCCTTTAGGAGGTGGTGACGCTTGGGGGCTCTGCCTTAGTCAGGGGGCCCCGTGCTCTTATAAAAGGGCTGGAGGGAGTCTGTGGGTCCCTTTTGCCCTTCTGTCTTTCTGCCATTTGAGAACAGGACACCAAGCCCTTCTGTCATGTGAGGATACAGCAAGAAGGCATCCTTTTTTTTTTTTTCCCCCGAAGATTTATTTCTCTGAGGGGCAGAGTTACAGAGAGAGGGAGAGACAGGTCTTCCATCTGCAGGTTCACTCCCCAAATGGCCGCAATGGTCAGAGCTGGGCTGATCTGAAGCCAGGAGTCAGGAGCTTCTGCCAGGTCTCCCACGCAGGTGTCGGGGATCAAGCACTTGGGCCATCTTCTGCTGCTTTCCCAGGTCACAGCAGAGAGTTGGATCAGAAGAGGAACAGCTGGGACATGAACCGGCATCCACATGGGATGGCGATGCAACAGGCAGAGGCTACAGCGCTGGCCCCAAGCAGGTGCCCTCTTAGAAGCTCCCAGAACTTCCCACAGAGCTGCCAGTGTCTTGATCTTGGACTTCACAACCTACAGAACTGTGAGAAACACATTTGCATTATTTTTCTGTTACCCAGCCTGAGGTATTTCTGTTATAACAACAGGAACAGACTAAGAAAATAATCCTTCCTGTCCGTCTCTCCCTTTCCCTCTCTCTCTCTCTCTCCTCCATATCCCACTCTCCTATTCCCTCTCGACCTACCAAAAAAAAAAAAAAAAAAAGGTATACTACAACAAAGAATCACAAGCTCAGATCAGGTGTCCACTTTGAAAGGTTTGGATTGGCATCATATCCCCATGCTCAGGCCAACCTATGGGGGAAAGTTGTATTCATTAAAATCTTGAATCATGAAAGCCCTGTAAAAATCTACTGTATACCTAACTCACCATCAGTTTTAAAATTTAATGTGCAGAAGCAAGTGAACTGTGTATAATTTCAAATTCTGATAAAATATATATAAGGCTGCCTCCTAGATAGTCCTTTTAGCCTGGTGCTGTCAGCCTGCAGCTTGAGAATACTGATTTGCTATTTTTTTTTCTTGCTGGAAAGATTAGACTTAGGTTTTCTATCATGAACTATTATGAGTTCATGAGATCTAACATGAACTCAGAATTTGGTGCAAGAATAGTCTAGTGAGAATTTATTATGCATTTTGAACATTTTTAGATATTGAAGGTTCCTTTTAAAGATCCGTACATTTAAGTTAAGCACCACTTAAGGCATATTTCATTGCTTTGAATATACTCCTGAGTTTTTATAAATTATGGTAAATAACGTATTTGGACTAAAAAATCTGTGGCATATCCTAGACACCTTATCTACAAAACTACTTTTGCAGGTAATTGAGACTATATGAGTTGGGTTCATCAATTTAAAATAGAAAAGAAAATTGGAAGATGGAAACTATATTGTACAGAGCCTGTGGCAAGGGACTGGCCTCTGACAGAGCGGGAGCAAAGAAACCCGGCTGGAAATTCCTAATCCCTGTGAATTTGGGCCACTCGACTCTCCGAGCCTTAGATTTCTGCTTCTGTAAGGTGAGGGTGACAACATATAGGCCTATTAGGAATATCACTGGAATAACGCATGTGTGCACCTACCACAGACCATCATATATAATGGGGGTTGAGTGAACGGCTCTTCCTTTTCCCCATTTTCCTGGTTAAATGCTGAGACAAAGAAACAAACCCCTTTGAAAATTGTTTAAATCTTAAATGCTGTCCTTAGTATCAGAAGCAAAAATGTGTGCTCAACACTCCCAGTAAGGAGAAGCCGACGTGTTGGTTTTCCGCAGTGGCAGCGGACGGACTTGTGCAGACACCCTGTCATCTTCCCTAGTCTCTTTACTCTGCCTGGGCTGTTTGTCATCAACACAAAGCTTTCCCATAACCCAAATCAGGATAGCACTCTGAGAAGGTAATATAACCTCTTGGGGGAAAATACAAGGTTCATTTCTTTGGGGGGAAAGCAGTGATCCCATTTTACTTACATTTGTATGGCTCTTTTATTTTTTTAACAGGATGTCTTTTCTAAAAAAAGATTTATTTATTTATTTGAAAGTCAGAGCTACACAGAGAGAGAAGGAGAAGCAGAGAGAGAGAGAGAGAGAGAGAGAGGTCTTCCATCTGTTGGTTCACTCCCCAGATGGCCACAACAGCCAGAGCTGTGCCAATCCAAAGCCAGGAGCCAGGAGTTTTCTTCTGGGTCTTTCATGCAGGTGCAGGGGCCCAAGGACCTGGGCCATCTTCTACTGCTTTCCCAGGCCATAGCAGAGAGGGGGATTGGGAGCAGAGCAGCCGGGACTAGAACTGGCGTCCCTGTGGGATGCTGGCACTGCAGGCCATGGCTTTACCCGCTGTGCCACAGCACCGACCCCTGCATGGCTCTTTACTGCTAATAATAAAATTCTTTCACCTGCACCCTTCACTCCCTCACAAGGTCCCTGTGGGGGAAGTTGGCAAATAGAGTGCTTCCCACCTTTCAGATGGGGAAACTGGAGCTCACGGGACTTAAAGTCACAAGGCCAGAGAAGGATGCAGACTTTAGAGGCCTGGAAGCTTACACAATTTGGAAGGAGGGGGCACCCTTTATGATAACAGATAGAAAATTATCAGTGTAAAATTTGGTATGAGAAAAGAAATTCACAATTACAAGTGTTTTCAAACATGAGGAATACATCAAATTACAAAATTCAGACAATCAAAGTCATTTTATTAACTGTCTTACCACTAGAATAATTTTTCCCCACATTTTTGCTGAATGTGTATTGATTGCTTCTTTATGTGGCAAGCATTTTATGGTACCTCAGAAAAGCAATTCAGGGAGCTGGTGCTGTGGCAGGTAAGGCTCCTGGCTTCAGCCTGGCCCAGTCCCAGCTGTCGTGACCGTCTGTGGAATGAACCAACGATGGAAGATCTCTCTATAACTGTCCCTCCCTCTCTGTAATGGACTTTCAAATAAATATTTAAAAAAAGAGAAAAGAATAGGTTTTTGGGCTTTAAGTCCATCACTTGTTTCTGTTACCTGAGGCACAAAATATCTTCCCAGAGAGTTTTGACAAGGTTCTACTGACCAGCTGTGTTTTTTTTTTTTTTTTAAATGATCCATTGATGTAGGGAGGCAGAGTTCAAGCTGGCAAATGGAGAGGGGCCCTGGGTAGGACTGTGAGATGGGCAGGTTATTCCTGGCATCCGGTTACACTTTCTTTAGAGGTCCTCTTCACCTTGGGTCCTTTTGGTGCCCCTTCCCAGACCATCAAAGGCCTTTTCCTGTTCTTTACCCTCACTTTATCAAAGTCTAGTCTCTGTTGTCATAAAAAAACAGATAAGCCAATTCACATCAACATACAAATAGCTGCTAAAAGCTTAATGAATTACCTACAGATGGGGCTTCCGAGGAAACTTACTAACTGCTAGGAGATAATCCTTTAATTCAATAACCCCAAATCACTAATGGTGGCAGTTCAGACATCACTAGCAGCCTAGCAGGAAATTATTTTTGGTTGGAGAGGAGCCAAATACCCGTCAAGTCATTCCAGTGAAGTAAATGGGTGCTTTCTGGGTCAGATACCATCAATATGAAAACTAAAAGCAAAAACCTGTTGGGCCCCTCAGGTTTTGCTCTCAAGATGCGATTCCTTCTCTACCATTCCCTTCACACCAAGTCTCACAAGCAAGTGGTGTGCATCCTCTGCCTCCATTTCTTCCCTGAAGTTACCTTAACCGTGTGCAAACTGGGCTTGACTTGCAACATGCCACTGAAGCCCTTCCTTCCAAAGTTCCTGTACCAACTACTCAACCTGTTGACCTTCAACCCTGTTGAGCATCCCTTCTTTCTAAATAGGGCCAACTGAGGTTGGGGAAGGCTTGGTGCCTGAGGTACAACATTTAAGGAGACACTCATTCTCCAGGTCTTGCAAATTCAGGCTCGGCATCTGGGAATGTGTGCCTCTTTAAATGCTGCACCCCAGCTGTCTTGCTTGCCTTAGTCTCTTCCATACCGTCTTCCGACAGGTGACTGAGTGAGAACATGGCCTGCGATTTGCTGCCTTTGTGCCTTGGCTCACGACACAGGCGTAAACGCACCTCCATGGCTTGTGCCTGTCCTGCATTCTCTCCTACCTGTGCCTGGTAACAATACCCTTAGGGAAATGCTCCTCCCTGACCCTGTGTATTTCTGGTGTGGCTGCCAAACACAGTACTTCATAGACCCCCGACCTACAGTGGGGTGTAGACATCAAATGGAGCCAGTCCTTTCCAGAAATGTCAGATTTATTTGCAGAGGAGCAGTCTTTCTGCACTCTTGTGTGAGAGCAGCAAGAATATAAAGTCAGGGGCTGGCGCTGTGGCATAGTGAGCAAAGCTGCTGCCTGCAGTGCTGGCATCCCATATCTGTGCTGGTTTGAGTCCCAGCTGCTCCACTTCCGATCCAGCTCTCTGCTACGGCGTGGGAAAGCAGTGGAAGATGACTCAAGTCCTTGGGCCCCTGCACCCAGGTGGGAGACCCAAAAGAAGCTCCTGGCTCCTGGCTTCAGATTGGCACAGCTCCGGCCATTGCGGCCAATTGGGGAGTGAACCAGCGGATGGTAGACCTCTCCCTCCCTCCCTCCCTCTCTCTCCCTCTCTCTGTCTCTCTCTCTCTCTCTCTCTCTCTCTCTCTGCATATGGGATGCTGGCACTGCAGGTGGCAGCCTTACCCCCCACACCACAGCACAAGCCCCTTCTGCTACTTTCCCAGGAATGTCAGCAGGGAGCTGAATCAGAAGTGGAATTGACTTTAAAAGGTAACAGAAAGGAAATATAAAGCAGGTAATACAGTTGCTACTAAATGTGATGATTAGGAGAGTGCACAAAACAGGCTCTTGCACAGGGCGCTTTGCAGGGGGTTCCTGGCCTGGTTCTACCTCCCAAGGCCATCAGTCACCGGGAGTGCTCGGACAGCTCCACCAAACTCTCCCTGAGTGCTAGTAAAATGGCACAGTCTATGTGGCGCCATCTAGGCCTCACTCGCCACCTTAGGCCTTGGCCCTCAGGTTTCTGTCCTAAGTCCCACAGCCCAACCACCGATGTCAGCTCCACCCCCACCCTAATGGGAGTCGCTGCTCCTACTTCGCTGCCCGCCCCGGCAAAGGTTTAACAGGAGCCCTTCCGTTAAACAGGAACACGTGCGCTCTGTCTTATGCTCTCCTCTCTCTCAGCCTCTCCCCTCTGCCCGTCCCATCGGGCTTCCCCCACTCTACAGTAAACCTTTCCTCTGACTGGTGTGTGGTGTGTTTTGTGGTCCTTACATTGGTGCCATGACTCGGATCCAGGCTCCCCCAGTGACTTCGCTCTCCCTTCGGGGATCTCTGAGCTGCCCTGGGGTCCCGGATTTCTGCCAGTCACAAAACACAGGCCCAGAATTCCTTCCACGGAAGCGCTTCCACACCACCGAACGCTCCGTGGTCTCCATCCACACACCGGCCTTTCAAATGCTGAGGTAAAATGTGGAATGAGAAATTCTCAGGGCGACTGTCACTACGGGTTGTGGCTCCCCTCAGCTTCATCTCCAAGTCCTGGTACCAAGCACCACTGCGGACTCTGTATCCGGGCAACAGTGGGTGTGGGTGATGACCCAACCCCCTGTTTCCATTCTATGGGCTAAGCCCTGGGCTCCAGTGGGCGCATGGGTGACAATCCCTGCACTCTGTTCCCATATCATCCCATTGGACGGCCATGATTTCGCGGATACCTGATATCCACCGATGGTACTTTACAGGTCGCCAGGGGAGCTGCTTCTTCCTGTGTTTGTCTGATTCTCCTCTCAGTTGTCTTCTAGGTAATATGGTCCCTCTCAAATTGGCTCCAGAGCTCGTCTTTCCTTGTAATCAGGTATGGCCCATGTATAAGCTTA